CCGGGGTTTCGAACAGTAATGGATGAAAACTGAAGCTTTGCTATTACTTGGTAATAAAATTTTTAACTACCATCAAATATCTGAAAATGTTACCTACAAATAGTATGATTATAGGAAACAATAGGTTATGAATGAGAAAAGACGGCTCTTCACATTCATAATTTTGAACTTTTATTTTCAATTTTGAATTAACAAAAATTGTGTAAATGAATTTTTTGACTGCCTGGAATAACTGCTAATTATTTTTAAATAAATATGAAGAAAATTAAACAATATTTATAAAAAGTTTTAAAAGCTAAAGTTCCTAATCAGTTATTCTGATTAAAAAAATGATTTATTTAAAAAAGATAGAACTTATTGGATCCTTAAATAGTATTTGTTGTTTTTAAATGTTAATAAATTTTTCACCATACCATGGGGGTATGGGGGGGAGCCATTCTGGATTAGCATAACTAAAAATTACCATCCCGATTTTTACTTAAAAAATATACAATTAATATTCTTCATAATTAATAGGGTAGGTCGGGGTACAAGGTCCAATTTGAGTTTGAGCAATTATATTATATTATATTGTGAAAACCAAACAATTATATTACATCAAATCGCACATATCAAACAAACAAAATATTGACCATTATCTGACTATGTTCCAGCTAATTCATCATTGTAGAAAGTTGTTTTTTTTTTCAAAATTGGTCTTTTTACCCTTCTATAGCCGAGCTAAATTGAGAAGACTACCAGGCAGCAAACATGTCCACTGCCTTATTTTAATTTAAAGGAACTTTTATATTTTTACTTAAAAAAATATGGTAACCTTATTACTACACAATTAATATTCTTCATAATTAATAGGGTAGGTCGGGGCACAAAGGTCCAATTTGAGTTTGAGCAATTATATTATATTATATTGTGAAAACCAAACCAATTATATCACATCAAATCGCACATATCAAACAAACAACTATCTGACCATTATCTGACTATGTTCCAGCTAATTCATCATTGTAGAAAGTTGTTTTTTTTTTTCAAAAATTGGTCTTTTTTACCCTTCTATAGCCGAGCTAAATTGAGACTAATTTTAAAGGAACTTTTTATTTTTGTTTAGAAAAATTTATATAACTTATATGAAGTTCCTCATTCCTTTAAAATTAAAATAAGACAGTGGACATGTTTGCTGCCCGGTAGTCTCAATTTACCCCGGCTATAGGGTAAAAAAGACCAATTTTTGGTAAAGTTTTTAAAAGACCAATTTTTATATAAACGTACTCTAAAATTTTATAAAAATTCGTTACGCGTGGTTACGCATTTTATGACACGTATAAATTTATACAATAGACATCTTAGTCTTTATATTAATATTATTATTTATAAAACCATAATAATAATCACCATTATTTTTTGATTGTATCATTCTTACCGACATGAGCCCCCATCCAGAGAATTTTGCCATCAAACCTTTAGGCGTATCTCTCATGGTCAAAGCTATCGGTTGCTGGTATTTTCCAAAAACGATCGCTTTTTTCAACTAGAATTATTAAGAAAAAAACTTTTCTTGGCAATATGAAATAATAAACTCACATGTTTGTTATGATTGCGAAAGACAACAAAATTAATTTCTGTTTGAACAAAAATAAAATTTTGAATGAATCTTCCTGTAGGTATATGAAGAGCTATTTTGAAAATAACTTTTTCAATATTAATTAAATGAAGTAAATTTATAGATATACCTTAATAACAGCAACATCGTGGTTTAGCGATCTGGGAGTGTATCTTTTAGGATAAACGATAGATTCTACTTCATGATGATTACCTCCTTTATATAGAAAACTTGATCCGGCCACAACAGTAAATTTTTTAGGCCTGTTTCTATAAGTGTTATTGCTAGTGTTAATTGTGTTTCTTTATAAAATAAGCTTATTATTAACTTTTATTTTTATCATACTCAAAAAATTTAATAATCACAATTTATGTAGTCCACACCATACCTTCCATAAACACAATGCGCTGCTGTTAAAATATAATAAGCGTCGATAATAGATCCTCCACAAGTATGCTTTTTATTATAACGTAAAGAAATTTGATGTGGAAATTCAGCAATTCTGGCTTTTTCGCCTCCAACTACCCTTCCATCTAATATATCTAATAACAGGCACTGAGCATTTGGCACTATTTATTTAAGAAAAAAAAAACAAATTTAAAAATAATCTATTTTTTTAATAATATAGTAACAATCAGATTATTTTGCCTATGCAAACTCACCATTAATTATAGCAATAGTTGTTATTATTAGTAAATACATCATTATAACTAATTCTAAAATGAATATATTATTTAAATAATTTTAAAATATGTATTAAATAGTAAAAATTCTTTTTTGTCTTTATTTCACAACTATATTCACTAATTTTTAAAATTCTCATAATAAAAAACATCACAATAAAAAAAATTGAATAATTTCTAGATCATTTTTAAGACGACAAAACTTTCTACTTAACACATTTGTGTATCATGAATAACTGAGCATAAACATTAGTCTTACCAGAAAAATGCTTAAATGTAACAAAACAATTGTAAAACATTAGTGTTGATAAAAAAACAACTGCAGTTTGTAGTTTTCTATGTTGAAATAATTCTTCCTATATAATGCTTGCATATAATATAAAAATGAAAGTGTTTCACAGTTGATCGCACATAACATAAATGTCTCAGTTTCAGCAGACACATTTTGTAATCTTTGCTGAAACTTATTACTTAATGAGACGTAAAAAGGGGTTATAAGTTCTATAAAAATATATTTATATTTATATAACTAATTTTGTAATTTTTTTATTTTATCATTAATTAGCTGTATTTCTGATTCAATGTCCTGCAACACAATAGAAGTTGCTTCAATTGCTTGAGATGACTTAAATATTCTACGCTTAGCTGCATACTGTAACAGGCTACAATACAAAATAATACTTAGTCATTTTATTTCAAAATATTTAAGGATTGTATTATAATCTTACGTAATTCTGGCGTCTTCAATCATATAACCTTGCTCTAATAGATCTACAGCATGTGTTGAATCATATTGTATCAACTTATTTTTGAGATCCAAAAATCTCTTAATTAGTTCAATTCTCTCAAGTTTTTTTGATCGTAGTGTGGAATAATTATCAAATAGTTCTTCGTGTAAGCTCATTCTCTTGTTTTCTAAATTTGTATCTTGTGAATGTTTTGTTAAGTCACCTTGACATATTGTATTCAGTTTTTTTAAATTATTTGCAAACACAGTTTTCATTAACTGGTTCATATGGCTTATTAGAATTGTTTGGTTTTGTCTTGGAAGGATGTTAATTTGTTCATTCGGTAAACCTGCAAGATAACAATCACAGTAATTGTTACAGGTAAATTTATTATATCTGATAGATTTGATAGATTTTCAATTTATTTTTGATATATCAGCTTCGACTTCACAAAGTTTACATATAATGTATATAGCATTGGACTTGTAAATAAAATATTACAGTAGCAAAATTTGAATAACTTGTATGCATAATTTAAAATATATAGTTAATTGGAAACATATTTATCAACTGAACTAATTAAAAACGGTCAACGGGGGAATCTATATGAATTATTTATATTGTTTTTAAATTTCTTCTACATTAATAAATATACCTAATAAGTTCATATTATCAGCGCTATTTCTTGGATCTTTCTTCAATAATGCATATTCTTGAACCTCCTTATTTTCTATTAAAGTCTTAATTAAATCTTTAGTTTCAATGTCTAAGCCTTTGTCATTACAGAATACAGACTGTTTACAAAAATATAACAGGGTCTTGTTTATCATGTATTCTTTATACGCTTTATTGAAATCTTCTAAAATTTCTTTAGAAGGTTCTAATAAATCCATTATCGTCGAAAAGAATGGAATAAACAACAATTAAAGTTAAACTGAAGAAACTGTCAAATGCAAATAAACTTCAAACAGTCGTTTTTCATAATTTTGACGTTTATCAGAAAATAATTCTATTTTAGTTTCTTAGTATGGCAATACCTGCAATAACAAAGTTCATCTATGGCAATACTAATATTGATATCCCGCCATATTAAATGTCAGTTTCCAAATGAGAATTGCTAAAAATTACTGCCATTAATTAATTAATAAATTCATATAATTATAAGATCCTATTAAAACGTTATTAGTCTCGATTGACTTTAAATATGATTTGTGATATTTTTCTTTTCACCGTATTAGCTGTACTATATTTCAAAGGTACCTGATATCTGACTGTCATGACTTTATGTACAAGATTTGTTGCAAACTATTTTGTTCGTTTGTTTTATAGGAATTTTGTGTGCTGATAAGGAATGCCGTGATTTGCATGGACGAGCGATCGATCCTGGTCTACATTATGTACCTGGTCCCGATACTTGCACATTGTGCATTTGTGATAATGGACTTCCAAAGTGGTGCAAAGCAGTTTTATGTTCTCCGCCACAAGTAATCAAATATTAATAAAATCGTTCATAAACAATTTTTCCAAAGCGTTTATAATTCTATCTCTGTTGTGAATATTGGGGTCAAATTGCATGCAGGCTCAAGTATATGTTGACAGCATTGAAATATTCAAACTCAAAATTAGTTTTTTCATTCCTTTTATACAAACATGAAGCAGATCATATTTTTTGGTTTTGATAGTATTTCTTACTATGTTTCTTCTATTCTAGGACTGCAAGTCTTTTAGAGTAGGAAATTCATGCTGCGATTTCATTTGTTTGGACGACACCCTGCCTAAAGCTGGTGATCAAACTGAACACAATGAGGTTGGCCTATGACTAATAGCCAGTGGGGTTACAGCAGCCCTATCTTTAAGTCTTCTCTTTTTTCTTGTACATCGATTGCGACTGCGTAAAGTCCGTGCTCCTGAAAACAGACAGCTTAGCCAAGATCAACGCAATATGGGAAGCATTGGGTATGTAAAATGAGCTCTTTCTAGGCAGTGCTTTTATTATATTATCTTTATAATATTGGTTGTTTTCTAGGTATATTGCTGGTTCATTAGGATATATGGGTGGAAGCATGGGATATTTGGGAAATACTAGTAATGTATCTGATTATCCGTATGAACCATCATCAATAACATCACATCATTATGCATTGTGGAAACCTTCTGGAAATTATTTTCCTAGAGGAGAGGCGCCACCGCCTTATGAAGAGGCAGTTGCTGCTGCTCATGCTGAAGCTTTAGCTGCAACGTGAGTTAACTTCAATTCTTATTATTAAAAAGTATACTATTTTTAGTATTGTATTACCTCTTCAATATGGAATAACTATCATCCACATAAATTTCATCTTCAATAAATAAGAGGATATATGTTGTTGAAATTAGTAATAATAAACTTCAATTTATGTAGCCCTATTTATTAATGTGATATATTCTATCTTTTTCCACAGAACTGCATCAAACCTAAGGCAATCTGCGCCCACTACTGTTTCAACCACCACTGCTAGCCTACATTTAGAACCTAGTTCTGCAAATAGTGACACCACTTTCAATTCAAACATTCAAATTAGTACTACACAAAATAGTCAATCTAATGCATCAAATTTAAATATTAATAACATAAATCTCAATGTTCGTGAACGTTCTAATACAATTGTAATTATGCCATCCACTTATAATCAACAACAGTTTAATTCCATAACTCAGGCTCAATCTAACTTAAATGTAAATCGAGGCGGAAATCAAAGTTTACCAAGTCGATGTATAGAATCTCATAATTTAAATTTGGGTAGATCGAATATTCATCCTGTTGTAAACCCCAGAATTGTACCAAAATCCAATCAACCTTTGGGAAGTAATAGTAATAATCATTTAATTGGAAATACCAGCAATTCAGCTTCTAATTTCAGTAGTAGGTCTGCAAGAAGTTTAAGTATACCATTATCTTCTTCTAATAATATATCTTCATCATCGTCGAACTCTACTCAGTCTAGCAATCTGAGTACTCTTACTAATACTCCTACTAAAGCTAGTAACAATGCTTTAAGTTCACTAGTTTTATCTCATAAGAAAAACAAGTCAATTTTATCACATTTGGAACAATGTGAAGCATGTTCGCAGCAAGCCAGTGCTTTGGAAAATGAAAGTAATGTGGCACTTGATTTAAGTAAAACACAAAGCGCTGGTGATCTGTTGCATGTTTTGCCACCTCCACTATTTGACAATGAAATTGAAGTTAGGAGTACTTCAAGTTCTATATCTCGGTAAGTAATAATCAAATACTTCCTAAAATAATTAAGTCCTGGGATTTAAAGATGTTTGTATTACAGACATAGAAGTATACCAAGACATATTTCTGTAGTAACATCCGGATTACAAGATGAGGGAAGCAATTGTCCGTCTTCAAACACTGTAAGTCATAATATAAAATATTAAATATAATCTTCACCTAATATTCATTTTGATCTTGCTACTAATTATTTAATGTCTTTATACTTTTAGCCTTCATTGCATTATCCGTCTACATCAAAATTAATTAACACCAATAATTCAAATTTAAAATCACCAAGTCATTTAAAAAATAAACTATTACCATTGTCATTACCTTCTACTTCAAAACTAAAAACAAAACCCTTACCATTGTCTATCTCCAATGAGAAAGATTCACAAGATTTGGAATTGGTTAACAATAAAAAAGAAACGCTTAATCAAAATATGTCTCTATCTGCAAACCAAATATTAACCCAATCATCTAAATACACTGCTTTTCCATTTGCGAAGACCAAAGAAAATCTGCCAACAGGTATGATATTAGATTTAATCTTTAAATGCAATATTTATTTTAAAAAAATCTGTTTTTTATATTATTTTTTTTTTATAATTATTTCCGAAGCAGAAGATATATTCGCGAAAAATTGCGATTTTTTTACCTTGTTTTTTTTGACATTTCAAGTCATTCTGAATCGAATGAGACCAAATTTGGATAAGTGTGCGTGTGTGTGTATTCTTTTACTTATCTTCGTTGTTTTATTTATAAAATTATCAAAGTTTGGCATTTTCCGGCGCGCTTAAGCGATTCTAAGCAGAATCTGTATAGAGCCTATGTATGTCCTTTGTTTCATAGGTAGCTACTGATTACAGTTGTCTACTAAATAAAATATATTTTCGGAACATAAAATAGATTAAATGAAACAACTAAATGAAATATAGTTGAACAAATTAATGAACTGTAGCATTTATTTTTTAGTAAAAGCGAAAACTTTAGTTATGAAATGAACAGTTGAAAACTTTATGCAAATAGCGGAGTCTCAATTATTATTAAGTTGTTTATGAATACTTATCATAAAGTTAATGCAACTTGTCTTAAGGCAAAATGCTACTTACCACTAGTCAAGTATGTGTAAAACTCACATAATTATATTATTATCATATTCCCAGGGGTGAAGACTAAAGAAGCTATCTCTACCCCAAAAGCCAAAAAAATAGATTTGGATGAGAACAGCAAAATAACTGAAAGTACCAGTTTACTAACACACAGTTCTAATGGTGGGAACATGACACACTCCAAAAGCACTAAATCTCTTTACCAAAATTCATCTGGTTTAAATAGTTCGTTGCCCTTGTCAATAGCTGCACCACTGATAAATTCTAATAACTCAAACTCGATGGATGATGGTGATGATTACAGAAGTGAATGCGAGAACTGTAAATCAGCACACGGGTCAAGATATTATTTGCAAGAGGATGATGAATTAGGATCGCCACATGAAACTATGACTTTACAGAGGTATACATAGTGATATACATATAATGTTTTTTGCTTATTATTTGCTACTGTTATATTACATTTTATATTACTTACTAATCAATTGAATCAAATTAAAAATTGAATGCAATTTTAATTTTGTAGAAAATTAGAATGCAATGAAGATGAGAATTACTACAGAACATCTTTAACACTACCGACTAATAGTAAGAAATCAAGGTGAGCACATTCAACAAAATGTCTTTTAATTTTTAATCTTTTTATACAAAAATGATATTGATTTATTGTGTTATAGAAATTCTTCACTTCACATACCAAATTCTGCAAGGGAGAGCTGGTTTAATAGCATGCCGTCAACTTCAAGTTCGGATGATGACTAATAAGATAAAAAATTGTGAGTGCTTAAAATTTTATATTATATCAAATTATGTTTATTGTATTGTAATGAACCCTTTTTATATTAAGGGGGTATTCTGGTCTAAAAGTTTTAGGAAATCGTTTTTTTTTATTAACTTCCTGTAGGATAGTTATACATAGTAATGGGCTGAAAATCGAAAATGAAAATTTTTGCAAATCTTCACATTTTGAAGGTTTTTGAACATTTTGGCATACCTAAGAAAAAATGGATATGTTTGTGTGTGTGCGTTTTTTTTTGTGTGCCGCATTTTTTTGTTCACGTTTTTGGGCGCACGATTTGAATGCTTCAAAAAACATTCGATTCCTATTGATAGGGAGATGTGCTGATTAGTTTTTGACAAAAGCAGGCCCAGCCGTTACGGAGATAAAGAGCAAAGACTATAAAAAATAGAAATTGAGTTGAATCATCTAAAAAACATTCCATTTGTAATGATTGGGAGAAGTGGTGATTAGGTTTTGGCAAAGGCAGGTCCAGCCATTTAGAAGATACAATGCTAAATGCATTTTTCATTTAAAATTTCAATTCTGGTTAAAGTTCTAAAGCTCACTTATAGACTTTAAGTGAATAGTTTTAACTTTGTAAATCAGTTTATATAATTCTTATAAATATTAAACAATGCTACAATATTTATAATAATCTATTTGAAAACATTTCATGTTCCTCAAACATTTTATTACGATACAGGCAGTTCCAGCAATTTGCCTTAAAGCATAATGCCATACACCACTAGTTTTAATATATTAGATGGCTTAACTATTCCTATATATTTGAAAGAGATTTTTTTCAAGTTTGAATAATTTTTGGAAATATAGATTCTTTAGAAAAGTTTGACCACAATAATCCTACTCTGTGTGAAGTTTTAGAAGTTATTGCATATAATTTGATAGAATTAATAATCAGTGTTGAGTCAATGTTTAGATTTAGGAACTCAAAATAATGAGTTTCTGAACTTTTTGATCTCCACTTTCTATACTTCAAATATTTTTTGATTTGCAAATGTCTTTTGATTTTGGTACCCACTAGTCTTCCTTATAGTCTTCTTCATAGACTTTCCAATTACTATTTTTTAAAAAATCGAGAATAGCAAAAGTTATAAAAAGAATATGTTTTCAGAAAGTCGCTATTCTTTTTTTTTTTTTTTTTTTTTTAATTTGTAGTTCATTCTTTGTTGTAATTATTTTCAGGGCTAAAATCAGGGTTATGGTCTTGTGCTAATTTTTTTTTAGATGCCACAACTTCATTACCTGCTAGAATTAAAACATTTGACTCTTTTTATTTTTCTGTAAAATTGTAGACAAGAATACTCCCTTAAACAATGATATCTTCGTATATTATTTTTATTATATATCTACAGAGCTGTATTACAGAGCTGTACAAAGTTATTTTGCCAGGTGGCAGATCAAGCCTAATAGTTCAGTTGATATAAGAAATTCATTTATGAATTGTGGTTTTGCGTGTATCTGATATGAAACTTCTAAGTTTGGAACTACTAGAGTACATGTTCAAAATGTAAGGTCATAGGGTAAAAACAATCTGTGTTCATAAAAAAATCATCACACTTTATTTTAATTTTAGACGAGCTTTTAGAATTAATTTTTCTGTTCTATTAGCACAAATAGTCTTAAAACTTTATTTGGTAGTAGTAAAATTATTGGTATATATGTTATATTATATAATTCATAACTTTCTGCATTAAATTGGTGCAAATTAATTATAATATGTACTTATGAAATATGTTCAGACTGAGAAGTACTTATGGTCTAAGACTAATTAGATTAAATATTTGTTCACATTTAATAAAAATACCACTGAATTAAGTGATTTGCAGTTTAAAAGTATGCAGATTATTTTTCCTAAACTAATTTATTCATTAAGCTAACATCCGTAATTTAAATTAATATTCGATTCTGTGAGCAACGATTTTGTTCACGGTATAATAAATGTTTGGGGTTGATTTCGGTCATAAATTATATTATGCTGCCATTAAAGCTATTGATATATGTATAAAATGAGTATTTTTTGAAGAAAAAATAACTTAAATAATGTATCCATTTTAATTATGTATATTTGCGATGATTGATTGGTGTCAGTGAAAGAAAACAATTTAAGCATCTAAAAGCTATAGTATATATTAAGTTCATTTATAGAATGTTATTAATTTTTAACTATCACGATTTTTTTTTTTTTTATTTCATTTCGATATAAGTAAAATTTGGACTAAATGAAGGCAATTAAACATTTTCATATTGTCTATGAACTTATTTATATCAATTTATCAGTATTAGAAAGTATTTTCATTTTATATATAATCTTATGTATTTAATTTTTATATGTATTTTAATATTCTGAAGTATTATTTGATGAGAATTAACTCATGTTATCGACCTAAGAAGTATGTGATATGTGCTGTTACCGAAAAGTAAAGAAATTATTTATTGTTATTATGACTTAAGATATATTTATTTTCTAATAATTATGTTACTTAATTATTATTTAACATAATTATGTTTCAAATGTTACTTAAATACTATTATTTTGTTGGTTTTCAAGAAATATTTAGTGTTTTGTTTGTATAAACATTTATATTGTTGCGACAATTTTTTTTTATTAATCTTTTTCAATAATTGATATTGGTTAAGTGAATCTCTGTATTAATATAAGATAGGATTATTAAAATATATAAGCACCAAATTGTTCAAAATTCGGTTCTATAATACACTTTTTGTGCCAAAATTAAATGAATGTTTTTTTTATGTATGTATATTAAAACTAAAATTTAGAATATTGAATTAGCATTAACTAAGATCTTTTAATTTCAGTTTCAGTTCATGTATATTTTTACTAAAAGTGTAAGGTTATTAATTATTAGGATGGCTTAATTTGTAATATGTGTAATATAAGGTTTTTTCGATGGTATTCTGAGAATTATATAATTCGTTGTTCATTCATCACTTACTTATATTTATAAATAATTTCGAATTGTAGATAGTGACTAAAGAAATAATGTATCAAGGTTCAATACGGAAGATAATGCAGCGGAAGATCATTTTGTACAAGTTAAAATGGTTTTTGAGTAAATGTTGTAAGATTTAATATTAATTTTAGGCTATAGAATGTTTGAATAATAGGTCTGATGCAGCCAAAGCAATTTATTACTTTTACGCTTATGCATAATTTTAAACAAACCGAATTCTTGACCATACATATTAAAAAAATTGTTTTTCTGGTATATTTATCTTGATAAGATAATAATACACTTCATTTCAAAGAAATAATGTTTTAAAATCTGGCTTAACAATTCATTGTTATTTATTAATGTGTATGAACCAAATAAATATCATTAGCATGAAAATTATTCAAAAGGTCTATGTGATATTTTTTGAATAATGCAACTACTTTATTATGTCTATATAAAGTAATTTCTCTGTTAAATATTTTTAAAGTTTTTTTGTAGTAACCAGTCCATCTGAAACTTTCAACAAATATAGTAGAAGTGTTTTCCATTCTATATGAATTTATTATAAATAATTTGATTTATTGTTTCACAATTAGCATACATATAGAAAAAATCTTATGTAACATACATGCATATCATACAATAAATTCTTACACAGAATCTGATAAAAATAAATAGTATAACAAATATCTCATAACGATTCTTGATGTAGACCGGTGTAGAAAATTATCCAAGTAACCTGGAAATGGACATATTATTAGAATAATGTTTGAAGCTATTGTGGCTGAGATGATGTTCTGGACATACTAAAAATCCTGCAAATGAAGTCATAAAACCTTCTTTTGTTAGCTCCCAGACGCCACCATATTCTTCTTCATCAATGGATTGAAATGAGGTAAAGTAGATATATAGTAAACCGGCATTAAAAACTGCAAATCTAAAATAAAATTTTATCTGTAAGTTATGTAAAATCTCTTTAAAGAAGTCTTTGAAGTATGTAGGATAGATATATGGTAAATCTTACAGAATTAAAGCTACTAATCCCTTCAAAGGAACAATTCCCCACACGATGCCTATTAATATTCCTAAAACCTGACGAGACCAATAAATAATATCTAAAAATTCTTCCTATAATGATAAAAATTACAATAATTTATATTTGTCATATAATGATTTTTAGGTTATGGTATATGTATTTGTACTTTATCTGGCCACTCTGAATTAGCAGTTAATGCTCTACTCCATATTGATTTTAATTCTGTTTTGTGTTGATTGGCTTTATCAGAAGTATTTAATTTTGACATTTTAATATATAATTAATAAATTAAAGATCCTACGAAAATAAGATTGATTCTAATACAGTTGGTAGAGTTGAAAATAGGACTACTTCATGTTGTTGAAATATGGCGACAGTTTTTGAAGTGTCAAATGAAAACAAGATTCGAAAAAGTTTAGTTTACGTTAAAGTTTAGTGTTAGTTAACGTAATTATTGTAAAATACATACTATGAAGAAATTAAAATCTTCTCGTCTGTCATCAGATTTTTACAATAAAGAAGGCGAAGAATTAGCTATTGCACTTCTAGGAAAAGTTTTATGTAGAAGACTCCCGAATAATACTGTTATTTCTGGTTACATAGTGGAAACGGAAGCTTATTTAGGATTTATTGATAAAGCGTCACAAACTTATAATGGTAGGTTAGTATATTTTTATAATCATTTTGATTTATATCATGCATTATTCCTTTTTTGTTTCGGAGTGTAAGATCTGCAATTGTCTCTGTAGTTTTGCCTAATTGTTTTCTCAATAATATTAATGGTAGTCTGCCCGAAGGTAAGTCCATGGTGTGAGAGCCACCACAAATAATTGATTCCCTTACTCTTCAACCTTTCACCACTTTTTCTCAATACAATTACAACATTTTTATTATCATATATAAATATTATACGTAGTTACATTTTTGGAGACTTTCTACTTTTAGTTAAACATGCTAATTGCATATAATATATATTATGCTCAAGATATGTATTATTGTTTCATATATCTATTAATGTATTGCTTAAGATATATTGTTTAAACAGTTACTGACAATGAATAATACAAGATTCAAATCTTGTTCTTTTAGACGCACTGATCATAATGAGCCCTTATATATGGACCCAGGTACATGTTACGTTTACATGACATACGGAATGTACCATTGCATGAACATTTCAAGCAAAGGTGATGGTTCAGCTGTTCTCATAAGAGCCGTAGAACCTCTGAATGGAATCGAACATATTACAAAACTACGGTCAAAAGGTACCATAGGTTATTCCATATATGATTTTATCAAAGTTCATGTTTCTTCAGTGGCGTAACTAGACCCTCTGGGGCCAGTGGCAGTTTTTTTTAGTTGGCCCTTATTGTGGTACTCAATTTCCATTGTATTTAGTTTATTGTGATTAATTCAAGGTGTTTCAACATATTCAATTGCACGTTGTTCATTGCTGGCTTACAAATGAGCAAACCAACTTTAACTAATTTATATTTTATGGTTTTAAATTATGAAATTATACAAAACATACATAAACAAGTAAAATATTAACATAGAGGCAAAATTATTTCATTTTGAATAAAAAGTACAAAAGGACAAAAAGAATACATAAAACTTAATTTTCATATTGAATAAAAAGTACAAAAGTACAAAAAGAATACATAAAACTTAATTTTTCATGAAAATCAAATATATAGTATTTGTGAAATTTTGTGAAAATAGGATAAATGGGCCTTAAACATGTAATTTTATAATGAAAATGAAAAAAATGAAGAACATACTACTAATTTATTGACTATGATAGATAATTGCTGTTAATGTAATTAATTTCATTGATTTATTAGTAACTTTCAAGATATATGTGAATTCATGATTTGTCGGGGGCCTGTGGCATTTTGCCACACATGCCACCCTATAGTTACGCCACTGTATATATTATTATTTCAATAATATTGAGTAGTTATTTTAATAGGAATTTGTTAATAGCAAAGAAGAAAAACAAACTCAACCAAACACCTATTAAAGATTTATGCAATGGACCAGCCAAGTTTTGCATGGGCTTTGATATAAATAAGAAGAATATTAATAAAGAAGATTTATCAAATTCTAATCATATCTGGATTGAGGAACCAGATTGCAATTCAGAAATAATCAGTACATTGAATAAGAATAACATTGTAAAATGTCCGAGAATTGGGATTGAATCTGCTGGGAGAGAATGGGCTGATAAGCCAATGCGTTTTTATATAAAGAGTAATATATATGTTAGCAAGAAGGATAAGAATGAAATCACCTTGGAATAGAGATATATTTTTATATTATATTTATATGAATGTTAACACAAATTTTAAATACATATTAAAGTTAAATATAAATTATAATATTATAAATTTAATCTTATTTTTAATATTCGAACATATGTTTAAATACCTATAATTAATATCTAATCTGACCAAATTAGCAAATCTAATATAATAAGATCATTTAAATATTTATTTGTACATCGTTATTGTTTATATATATATATATATATATATATATATATATATATATATATATATATATATATATACGAGTATATATATATATTAATCGGTAACTGTAAGATCAAATATATAAAGTTTTAGGTGAAAAAGTCTAAACTTTTGAGGAAGTTATTTAACAAAGAGCCCTAAATCCATTAGATATTAAAATTTTTCTCATTAAGATTTTTTGTGTGAATTACTGAAGCTATATAAAAATAACAGCTATAAATATTTAACAATATAAAATATTAAATATTAAATCAAATAAGAAATGCTATCGCCATCTGCTCTTCAGTTGTGATTGCAATTGCAAAAGGGCATTTTTGCCTATAATCTCAAACCCAGGATGAAAAGTGAAAGTGATTTTACAGAAAGTAATTATATTTACATGATATATAATTTAATAATAATTTTGGACTTATAAATCGTTAACGTTTATTAATACCAATAACGAAATATTTTAAATTTGCTTTACAATGAATTAGATTTTTTTAGACGAGATTATGACAGTACCACCACGTGGTTGAATATAGTGCTTGTGCAACTTTCGTAGTCGGAAGACGATTGTCGCCAAATAACAATGTGCGTGTTATTGGTAAAAAATACAGAAATTTATAAAAATGAATAAGACAAGGCTGACGTCAGAATTTTATAACAAAGAATGCGTAGATCTCGCAATAGCACTTCTAGGAAAAGTTTTGTGCAGGAGACTATCAGACAACTTTATTGTTTCTGGCTATATTGTGGAAACCGAAGCGTATTTAGGATTTGAGGACAAGAGTGCTCATAGCTATAATGGCAGGTTAATAATTATTATAAAGCAACAAAAATTTTAGATATAAGAATGAAACATTGATTGGTAGGCAAAATTAAACTTAATAAACAAAGTTTCAACTCATAAAAATATATTATTATTAAGTAGTAGAGTAAGTTATAGTAATCACAAAAACCAAAAATGAAAATGTTTATATAATAGGTTGTCAAATATCTCCCTTCCGCTTTTTTGCTCTTGGTTTATAATACAAAAAGGCGAAATGGAGATATTTGACAACCTAATATATTTACGTTTCAAAGGTTTCTGAACATTTGGGCATGCTTTATAAAAAATGGATGTATGTGTGTGTGTGTGTGCTGATACAAATTTTTATCGACAATTTTAAGAACCCGGTTCGACCGATTTGAATGATTCAAAATATTCGATTCTTATTGATGGGGAGACGTGCTGATGAGTTTTTGACCAAGGCAGGTCCAACCGTTTTGAATATACAAATAAATAGTAGTCCAGTCATTATAGTAAGTTCACCTCGGAATTCGAGATTCAAAGTTGTCTCAAAACCTACATATGGTAGGGTGTACAGACTGGGGTTCATACAAAAACCGACATTTCAGAAAACCGGTTTTCGAATTTTAATTTTACTAAAAAATCGGTTTTAGCCGGTTATTTAGCCATTTATAATACAGTGAAAACCGACTTTTTTCACTAAAAAACCGGTTTTCGAATTCCATAATTTTTGCCAAAAACCGGTTTTTGAAAACTGACAAACCCTAGTACGGACCATATGTAGGTTTAGAGACTGCCAATATACAAGTATTTACAGACTTACAGCTGGGTATCTCGAATTCCGAGATTCTTACCTAATTTAAGCTTAAATTACTGGACTATAGTGCCAAAAATGGTAATTCAGTCTTTCAGAGAACGAAACGTCTGATTTTAATAATTATAAAAACATTTTACTTCTATTGATAAAGTAAATTGGGAAGGCAGGTTCAGCGGTTTTGGAGAGTAAAAAAGTAAAAAAAAACAAGTAAAAAAATGCTATTTGCCGGTCAAAAATGATCATTGGACATACGAACATCAAATTATCAGATGTTTTATAAAGATTTTGATCATGAGTATGAATTTTGTTTACATTTCTACGCTAGACTTCCGTTAGTATTTCTTCTTTAAAACATAGCCATATAGCACGATTGATTTAAAAAACAATTCAAGATTTTCAAAAGAATTTCAAAATTATCAAAAATTTACATTTTTCAAATTTTAAAGCTCTTTTAAAAATGTTAATTTTCGGTACGAGAAGTTCTAGCAATTTGTCTTAAAGCACGATGTCATGCATCACTTATTTTAAATTTAATCATTGTGCAAACAATTACAACCCTGTTTATTTCGTCAGTTCGATTCTCAAGTGCAATATTTTGCATTCATTCTATTACCACCTCTTGGGTGACGTCATGCATTGGATTTATGCCCATATAAGGCAATGCCTAGACAAGGACAATAAATCGTCCAAAATTTTTGCAAATTCAGTAACCAGGTAGCACTCGAAGTGGTCGGATCGTTCTGTCGCCTGTCGGTCGTAGGTCGTCGGTCGTCGTCGTGTTAATTCTGCCGAGTGCATTTTGTCCTAGTCGATGGCCGCCGCGTGTGTCGTGTGTGAATTTATCGATAATAATTGCTAATAAAATGGTAAGTAGTGGACTTTATATATATTATTTATATAGTTGTATATTATTTATATATGGTAATATAATTTACTCAATCCAATCGGCATTGTTGGTGGTGCGTTAGTTTTTGCACAACGTGTAGAAGGGCGAATATCAATTCTGTAGAAGGATGATTATCAAGAATTTTATTGCGCGTGCGAGTTTTATGAGAAATTATATATTAACTATTAATCTTAGAAGCACAATTACGTTAATCTGTTAATTTCTAACAATTTTTAAAATTGAATATTTTTGAAACAACATGTAAATAAGTTTTGAAATCTACTTTGTGCATACAGTATGCGAACGATTCCTAAAGAAGTATCAAGATTACATAAAAATTGATAGAATTTTCTAGCGATAACAATCTACTTTATGAAATTTAAAATACGATAAATTTAATAAAACTCAGAAATAGAATATGCAATACATTTAGTTCACATTAATTATTTTTGGGGTTTATTATTCTCTCAAGAATCTGATACGATCGAAAGCAACATGAAATATTAGTCATATACTAATAGAAATTTTAGATATCGTTTTTTTTAATATTTATATTTTCAAAATTTAACTATTCAGGAATTTGTATTCGGGAGAATTTTTAAAAACTTAATTTATCTTCGGAGATACATCTGTTTGACAATAACTTTAAACGCGTTTATCTCAAAATTGTCTTTTTCAACACGATTCTACTGGAGTTCTACTGAACAAATTTACTTGAAATGTTTGGAGAATCTTCTTTATGTACTTCTCTCTGGCATATACTAACCTAATCCCCAAATTTCAATTTTTACTATTTTTAAAAAAAATCAAGAAACAAAAAAAAGTGGTAAGATATTGATCATTTCTTTTTCAGTCACCATTTGGGAAACATTTTGTCAAAAAATTATTTTTTAACTTAATCCTATTATAAACCATTGCGACATCATTCTATATTATGTAATCCTTTTTTTCTTTCATTTCGGATTGCAATGGTGAGCATGGTCACGTGTAAACTTTTTAAGACCCCTCACTTCAACCACTGCTAATTTTTAAAATCATTAATTTTTTTTCTGTAGTCTTTTAACGTTGATAAAGATATTATAGAAAAGATGTAGTACAAATATTGATTGCTATTTTTTATGATTCAAACATGGCCTAAAATTCGTTCCTCTGCACTGGAATACTCCCTTAATGCATGTTATTAAAATTTTCGATCATCTCCTTGAAAATCACATTTTTATATAGTTGCTGATATTATTTAATTGGCCTTAAGAGATTATTAGTATGTATTTGATTACCCCACGTTTTCAGGAAAACTTATTAGTTAACTAATTCCGATGGTTTAAAAATAACATGTATTTTTATATAACATGTATAACGTGTATTTTTAACGATTAGTTTTTGCTGATAATAGGTAAAGGCATACCCAGTAGTTTTTGGGGTACTGGTACTTTCACGTAAGTAATTAAAATGGCCATTATTTTGATGCCAAAAAATCAATATTTGTTACTCATTTATCATTATCGTATCGAGTTTGTTATAGTTTTTACTATACTATGCATATCATATATTGCAAAAGTAGGGATTTATTTTGTAAAATAACTCTTTGCATTTTTTCACAAGCATATTCTCATAAAAAATCTAAAATATTTTCTTTGAACACCTTTAGTCTAAAATATTCACTTTCAACACCTCTTAGAATGAAATAAAAAAGTGTAAGCCATAAGCAATTATTGGCATTGGTATCAAACATCATATGATTTAATTTAAAAAATTGTTTGTTAACGAGTTTCATTCAATATTATTTATTTTCTGTATTTATTGCAATGTGTTTCCAAGTAAAAATAGCCTTTCGCCGGCATTGCTGCATCAATAAAATAAATCCATCAGTATTGTGATAATAAATTCTGATGGTATTGCTTTCTAAAAAGCGACGCAGTTAGGACAATTTCACACTTGAATTCTGATCGTTGTTAAAATAAAATCTAAACAAAGAAATTAAATAACAATTCTGTTTGAGACAAATTATATAATATTTATATATCATTTTTATTTTCAGGCGGACAAATCGAAATGAGGCAATGTTTATGCCTCCTGGAACATGTTACGTTTACATAACCTACGGAATGTATCATTGCCTAAATGTATCAAGTCTTGGGGAAGGTTGTGCAGTACTTTTGAGGGCATTGGAACCGTTAAATGGCATTGATAGGATGTCTGAATTACGATCACAAGGTAGGATTTCTATGTTTATAGTAAATAAGGTAAAAACCCGCTAAGTCGATTTTCAAAATATTGGTGTAAAACGGCGCAATTGTTTATATTAGCATGGAGCGGTGTAAAAAGGCATATTAGGCGAGAGGTATTAGGCATAATCGTCTTAACGGGTTTCTACTGCAGTTATTTATTAGTTATTTCAATATTTAGTATTTTATCTTATTTATATACATTAGATTTTTTTGTCGTTTATGTAATATTTTGGCAGATTGGTAGGATAATGATTGCTTTGGATAAAATGCTGGTTATTTATAAACTTTAGAAGTGATTGCATAGAAATTGCTCGTTATTTATCGTTTTTGTTTATTTATTGATTGCTTTAAAAATTGGATAGTTATTTTATAATCTCTGTTAATGAGTGCTTAGTAATTGCTGCTGCTTCTTATTTGTTTGATAATTGCTTTGGAAAATTTGGTAGTCATCAAAGGGGAAGTTCATGTTTTTATTTGTTTTGGTAATTTTTATGTTTTCTCTACGTTTCAAGACATTTTGAATCGATATTACGATATTGATTTTCTATCGTTTGTCACAACATTTTATCAAAGTATTTTTGGTGTATATGATGTACCTGTTTGTTGTACATTTGGGTCAAAATTTCGTTCGTCCAGATTTTCTCAAAAACGACTAAACCTATATTGAAAATTTAAGTCATTTGATGAAACTTAGTAAGGACTCGCTTTGTTTTATTTTATGCGATAATCGGCCAATCCGTTTCTTTTTAATTAGCAAACAAGTGCATAATTTTGCGATAGCGTTTTGCCAAAAAATCTAAACCGATTTTGAAATTTCACAAACTATTCGAAATATATCAGTTGCAAACCGTGGTCATAAGTTTTTTAATAAAGATCGGCTCGTACGTTTATTAAAATTAATTGTTGAAAACATTTGATGATTTTAGTAAATTTTTGCACAATAATAGTTGTATAATCGAACATATTAAAATATTATAGACCAACAAAGAAGGATTCACTTATGGTTTAAGTATGGAATAATCAGAAATTTTTATCCTCACAATTTTACAACATGCAAAATCCTATTATTTATTTTTCAAGTCGATATTTTCACACATACCAGGATTTAGGGATGGATTTTGCATGTTCTAAAATTGTGACGCTAAAAATTTCAGTTTATTCCATACTAGAACCATAATTAAATCATTCTTTCAAAGAATAGTCTTTCATTTAAAATCCTTTTTAAATAAAGTTACACAGGAAGATTGATTTTAATCCATTTGATAGATAACTCCCTTCTTAACTTATCGTTTATTATTTACTTGATTTATTTTAAGAAATTAGTAGTAAATATACAGCTTCTAGAAATGAATGTATGAATTATTATTTGCTTGTACTGCTTATTAGCTTGATAATTGCTTAAAAAAAGCTGGTTATTTATAATACTTAGAAGTGAATGCTTAGCAATTGCTTCTATTATTTATCGCTTTTGTTTGTTTGTTGATGACTTTGGAAAATTGTATAGTTATTTTACAAACTCTGGAAATGAGTGCTTATAGTAGAAGAGCCAGTGAACTATTTGACTAACCTGTTTTCCAAGAGCTAGAATTTTTTTTAATGATATTTTATTATCGACCCATTTAGAAAGTACCATTCTGGCAGTCATTCTGCGATTGCGTCATCTTCCCTTCAATTTGTGAAAATGTCAAAAAAATTTTTTTCATAACTTACTCTCACAAGGCTCAAATTTTAAGGGTGTATTCTTTTAACTGTTCAAAAGGCATATGTAAAAAGCGAGCCCATTCTGATGGTTGCAAGGGTCCGCCAGTCGAGTACATAATAATCGACTAACACCCTTGTATTTGAATAATTTATACGTCATTTTAAAGGTCCATTTGTATCTCACCTTATGGCCGAGATATCATTGAAAATATGCCAAAGTGACCCCTTTTTTAAACTCAATTTTTGGCGTAACCATAAAAGATATCGAGAAAAAAAATTACGTGATTCTACTCATATTGGCTTATACCAATACACATAATGTATATTAATATATGCTAAATAATCCTTTATTATGAGCCGAAAATGATAAAATAATTTTTCAATTAAGGTTTTTGGATAGTGCGTTTTGTTTAATTACTTTGTTATTAGCGTTATTCGAAAGCCTATTATTTTTTATTGAAAAATTTTACAGCACTCAGAAAACAGGTTAGTCAAATAGTTTACTGGCTCTTAGACTATTAGTAATTGCTGCTGCTTCTTATTTGCTTGACTATTGCTTTGGAAAATTTGGTAGTCATAGACACCAGAAATAAATGCTTAATAGTTGCATTTACCATTTATTGCTTATTTTTCTGGTGATTGGTTCGGAAAAATTAGTAGTTATTTTACATGCTAAAAATGCTAAAAATGAATAATGGCTTCAACCCAATTTATCGCTTTCCTGAGTTTGGTAGATGTTTGTTTGAGCATTTGGTACTTTATTCAATAAACTAACAGACATATTTCCATATCAGGAAAAAAGAAAACGAGTCCCAAAATGATTCCACTCAAAGACTTATGCAACGGACCTGCAAAACTGTGCATCAGTTTAGATGTGAAAAAAGAAAATATTGATAAACAAGATTTGTGCACTTCTAATGACATCTGGATAGAACATCCCGATTATGATTCTGCAATATTTAATACAGATATTACCAATAATATCGTTAAATCTCCAAGAATTGGTATAGAATCCGCAGGAGAAGAATGGTCCAAGAAACTGTTACGTTTTTATATTAAAGACAATGCATTTGTAAGCAAAAAGGATAAAAATGCTGTACCTTTGGAATGACTATTAGAAATAGAAATACGCAAAATGTTTAAAACATTTATTTTTAATGTAAAGTTTATTATAAAAATAATCTGACAAAGTCATCAATCTTCTGGTTGAATCAGATTAGGCGACTGGAATTTTAGCTTGACTCTTCTCATAAAATCTATGGCTGGTCTACCCGTAAGAATACTTTCATTTCTTATGTCACCTACTCGAAATGCAACATTTCCTAGAATATAAAATTTGTTTTAATCAAGTATTCAAGACTAAAGATGATATAAATCAAATACAAATTGTTATAATGAAATTATGTATTTGTAAATTATTGTTTAAGAAACATGCGGTAGTGGATATACTTTATTTATTAAGCAAAATAATAAATATTTATATCAAGCAATAAAAATCAATGGTTTTAATGTGTAGTCATGTATGAATAAAACTTTAAATATTTTAGTTCTTAATATTAACTTTAAGATAGTCCGCACTTCAACCAAAGTTTCTTTATTAACATTGGTAAAATTCCATTTGTTTTTTAACGTAGCGACAAGTGAATCAAAATTTTGAGAATAACATTGTATCAGCTAATTTCCATCATAAATAAGAAATTTTTAACGTAAATTTTATATTTTTCGTAAAATAAGTATTTACTTAGGAAGAAGAATCAAGAAACTTTGGTTGGAGTGCGGACTATGTTAGAGTTAATATTAAGAGCTAAAACTTTCAGCGAATTTTTTTTATCAACTTAGAAGCATCTGGGATCATGGGAGCAAGGAAATTCGAAAACATCCATATTAAGGACCTCTCTAATATATATATAAACGCAATGTTTTCTAGGTTATATCGACTCGTGTGGACGAGGTCGTAAGTTCGAACTCTCACTCTGGAGATAACCTGAAAGTATTGATCAAAAATATGTTTCTTAATTAGCCCCTTTCGGGCACCACTGTGTATAATAGCAATGGTAAATTTCACATTATTTTTCTTATTACGATGATGTTTTATCATTACTTTACCTATGGTTTTATATTCCACGTCGGATACAAATCTTATGTCGTCATTCTTTGGTGATTTTTCCAAATAAACCACATGCAAGGTGAGACCTTCGCCGACATCATCGTCAATCTCAATACGTCTGTCGGCAGTTGTAGGTGGAACAGAAGTTACTTCTTTAGGAGAAAAACGTGAATTAATATACAATTTAAGAAAGTTCTTGTAAATTTTTATATGTAATATATAACATGGAAAAAGAAAAGTTTAGTACCGGTGTCGTTGGATTTGCGATGTGCGGCAGCTGGTGCAATAGTAGCTTGTGGTGTGGTGTACTCGCTCTAATAATCAAATATTATAATAAAATTAGTAAATAATCTGCAGTATACATTTATATACATCTATACACAGTAGTGCATTTACAGAAAATTTCAAGATTAGAGCTTATACTAAAAAACACTTTAGAAAACCGCGGGAGAAAAGGTACACCAGCGATATCTAAAAAGCAAGTGAACAATAATTGAAAGTAGAGAGAAAAAGCCTTAATTCTTACGATTTTGCTATAGGGAGATAAACGTTGACGATTATACTCGTCACAAAACTGTGCACACTAGAGACGGGTAACTCTCACAGGATATGTCATATCCGACTTCCCTAAACTGATACTAAATCTGTTAACATGTGCAGATATTGGTTGAGATTTTTTACTAATACAAAGATTTGGGTCGAAATAAGTGTTTTTGTTTTCTCGTCACAGACAGTTTTAGGACTTTCCGGGTATATAATGTCTCAAAATAATGCTATTTTGTATTCTATATTTTGTACACGATAATGTTTGTACGTAAATGAGCTCTTTCAATGGTATACAACCAGCTAAAAAAATATTTAGTATTATATTATAACTTTTACACAATAATTTATAATTGTGTAAAAGTAATAATATGCTAATCAAACTACCTGATGTATAATTAATTCTCAAAAAGAAAATAATAAAAGAATGTGAGGTATTATTATTTTGTAAAAAATATTATATACAAAGATTTGTTCTTATTCTATATATAAGGTTCATTGCATTATTTTCATATAAAAATACACATATGCAAAAAATACTATATTTTCTCTTCAAAAATAATTACAAAATTGATTTTGATTCCCAAGTTTTTTTGTCAATTTGAGATTTGTATGCATTTTGTAAAATCATAAAATAGTAATTATTATAATAAAATGAACAAAAATGTTTGAACTATTTGTAAACTATTTCCAAAGTCTTAATAAATCCTTAGATATGTTAACAACACACCAGAGAACACATTTTTGTGTCAAGTATTATGTTTTAATGATGTCGGAGTTGTGGAGTTGTTAAGTGGATATAACTCCTCTTTGAAGCAGAGACAAATCCTAACCATTCGATGTGATCTCCACAATTAACTGGTTAATCAATGACTTGACTGTTCATAATTTTACTCGTACAAACTAGTTATTTTAATTAACACTTAAATACATACTTCTAATGTTGTACAATTAAGACCGTCAAAATCATCGTCATCAGTTTTTGTTGGCTCCGTCATTAGATCGGCGAATGGTTTGAGATCTTCTACATTCATGGTTGTTTGGGCCTGTGAAAAGTGTTAATTAATTAACTTATTTCAATTTTTAAACTGAAAACTCATTAACTTCCCGTAGGGTAAATTATAGTAATAGCAAAAAAAATCAAAAATGATAATTGAATGTATGTGTGTGTGTGATGTAATACAAAATTTCGTTGACGATTTCGGGAACACCGATCAACCGATTTGAATAATTTGAAAAACATTCGATTCGTATTGATAAGGAGACGTGCTGATCAGTTTTTGGCGAAGGCAGGTCTAGCCGTTCCAAAGATATGTGGCAAAAAGTGCCAAAAACGGTAACTCAGTTTTTAAGAGAATGGAGCGTCTGATTTAATAATTCAAAAAACATTCAAAACAACAGCAGGCTTAGCGGTTTTGGAGATCTAGTAAAAAAAAGTAAAAAAAATGCGATTTGGCGGTCAAAATTGATCATTAGATACAGGCACATCAAATCATCAGATATTTTATAAAGATTTTAATAATGTGTACACATGTTGTGCAATTTTTTTTGGGTTCCGTACCAAGATTTTTAAGTTTCCGTAGGGTAGTTATAGTAATGGGCCGAAAATCAAAAATGAAAATTTTTGCATTTCTCGACGTTTTGAAGGTTTCTGAACATTTTGGCATGCCTCAGAAAAAATTGATGTGTGTGTGTGTGTTCTGTATGTCCGCATATTTTCGTCCATGTTTTCGGGCGCACGGATCAATCGATTTGAATGGTTTAAAAAACATTCGATCCCTATCGATAGGGAGATGTGCTGATTGGTTTTTGGCAAAGGCAGGACCAGGCGTTTCGAAGATACAGAGCTAAATGTGCAAAAAATGGCAGTTTTTGAGTGAACTAAGCGTCCGATTTGAATGATCTAAACAACTTTCAGCTTGTATTGACAAAACAATTGCTTTTGAGGATAAAAAATTATTACATCTTTTAATTTTCCATAAAAGTTTTTGTAATTTTGAAAATTTTTAAAAAATTACTCAGCCTAAACGCCACTCTGGTACAAATGTTTACCTAAGTGAAAGCTATTGAAAAATGTGAAAATGCCGCCAAGCTAAGCACAGTATAAGTGAAAATGTCGCACAGAATTATTTGCAAATGCGTTTAGACTGTGACTATAAACTTTTTCAATTTTGTGCAAATTAAGCAACTATTTTTTTGAATTTGAATTCGAAATGAAATGACGATTGTTAATGTTCTGGAGATTGATTGATTTATGATTTACATTTGATTTGCTCAGATATAACAAGATAGCGAAAATAATGAAAGTTACAGTATTTGTAATAATATATATATATATATATATATATATATATATATATATTTGAAAACTTTTAAAATTTCTCGAATATTTGCCTTAAGGCACGATGCCATGCAGCCCACTAGTATAACTCATTGAATTATATCATTATTGAATCGTATATAATATATTTATATCGACTTACCATTTTCTTTACAATTCCTGCAGCCTCATGCTCCAGAGGAGGAAGTTTAGGAAATAGCTCAGCCTGATTTTCGTACTCGTAGTCATCCGAATCAGATTTGGCATATCCGTTACGTGGTTTTCTTTTCTGTTAATGAAATAATTGAAATATTGAAGTACTTTGTGAAGAAATTTTATGTATACAGTTCAATTGTATTCTACAACTTCCAACACCAGTTTTTATCAAAGAAATAAATTTGAACAAAAGTTAGATAATTTTTTGATAGGATTTTTTTTGTATCCTTACATTTTAAAACTTTAGCATACCCTAGAAACAATGGATGTGTTTCTGTTTGTGTGTATGTGCGGATACAATTTTTTGTCGACGATTTTGAGAACACGGATCAATCAATTTTATTGATGTAAAAAAACGTACTGATTAGTCTTTGGACGATTAGTAAATTTTATTTTAAAATATAAAATATCAACGATTATGAGTAAATAATCATGTACTAAATAATTCGGTGCCAATTGAAATCCAAATATTTCATCTCGTGCTCGTTTCTTCATCAAATTATATGAATATATTAAAAAGTAATTATTTTCAGTCTGCTAGTATTATATATATGATAAGCAGATAATTAATAGGTTTTTTTATATTTTATAAATTAAATGACATTTTGATCAGATTTTTCACTCGATCTCCAAAACCGTTAGAACAAATTTTTTCCCGTCAATCGACTTTTTCTCAAAAATGGCTGGGATTTCAAAAATTTAAGTAATTTGATGTATCTCGATGAGGACTTTTGTTTCAGTCTTGTGCGACGATCGGCCAAGCCGTTTCTATATAAATAGCAGAAAAGTGAAAAAAATTCCGTCCACGTTTCAGCCTGCAATTCTGGATCGATTTTGAAAATTCAAAAACCGTTCGAATGATATTGGTTGGGAATGGTGATGATTAGATTTTGGTAAAGATCGGCCGGGCCGTTTTCTTGTAATAAAGTGTTGAAAAAAAATTTTCAACTATTTTCATAGACCATAGTCTTATAGATCATACTAAAATATGACGGCCCTACAAGTCGTTTAATTTGAAAAATTCTTCAAAGTTTGCAAAAGTTAGTATCGTTCTTCTGGCATTTGTCAAAATTAGACTTTTGATAGACGTTTTCTCAAAGACGCCTGAACCGATTTCAGAAATTTAAAAGCCATTTGATGTATCTCAATGAGGACTATCGTTAGTCAATTTTGTGTGGCAATCTGCCAAGCCGCTTCTTTTCAATTTGGAAAAAAGTGTTAAACTTTTCGTCGACATTTAAGCTC